CATAACTAAAGAACTAAAAAGAACTTGCTTTAGAACTAAAGTTCTAAAGAACTTTATTTTGAAAAATGCGAAGCTCTCTAGTATTTTGTGGTGAAAATGAGCACTTCTGCAGGTCATTCTTTGTGGGGAGAGAATGAGAGGTACCAAGGATTGCCCAAAGGAGGGACTGCTCCAATGCACCACTAGCAAACCCCAGATTTATCACTGAAATAGAGCACCCAGCATTTTGCATCAGTGCTTTTGGTGGTCTAACCCTGAAGTTGCCCAACAGTGGAGTTCCTCAAACATTTTAGGTGCCTATGTTGAAATGTTGGCTTTAATGGCATCAGGAGTTCCCTGTCTGTTGCTGTAAAAGGAGAATAGAGGGGAAAAGTCAAAGTGGTTGAGAAATAGGGTTGTCTCTTAAACATTGAAGTCGGTCAATGTTATCTGGAAAAAATGCCTGTGCAATGTCCTCTGTGTAGGGTTTCTTGCAGAGTTGATACTTTTACCCTCTGGAAAGGAAAAAAACCCAACCAACTACAAGTTCCTTGATTTTTTTTTTCCCAAGGCTTAGCTAACAGACAGGAGTGAGCTGCTCAAACTGATGTTATGAAAAACTGGCAGTATCATGCGTGTGTGCTGGAAAGGCCAACCATTGGAAATAATCAAGAAATTGTTATGAAGATAGTCTATCAGTAATGCCTTGGTACCCTTCAGCATATCTGCTCACATGAGTTGTGCAAGGGACATTATCAATAACTTTAATGACTCAGGTATCTGAGCCTTTGCCCTGATGTTGGTGTGTTAGCACTTTCTGGATGTTACTTCTTTTCTAGGAAAATATATTCTTGAACTACCTGCATAATAGTTCCTCTGTCTCTATTGTGAAGGTAGTTGTCCGTGGCAGTGAAGGAAAGAATCAGATTAATTTGTTTTAATAATTTTTGGAGGTGACTTTATTCAATATCATGTCAAACACTAAATCATAGTGTTGCTGTCAGCTGTTTTCATCTGTTGTGCACTATGGACTAAATAATGACCTTCGCAAGCGTATTTTTCTTATAGAGATCTATTATGGGCACACTTCATTTGCAAGCAGGGAGTTCAAAGTTCACATCTTGTACTTGGTTCTGTCTTAATGATAAAGAACTCGCTCATGTGGTGTTCCAGGAAATGCTGACACCCACTATGTGGCCACAGCACCTTTATCTGAAACGATGCAAGCTCAGCCTTCAAGCCTGTCCCCTGAGCCAAGCAAGCCCTGCAGGACAGTGCTTGGTGGGCTGCTGGGGTAGCGAACCCACCGTGAGCAGCTGGAAGTGACTTTGGGGCTGCAAGCAGCTCTCTGCTCTTGCTGACCTCGGTGAGACCCCTCCTGTGCTTCCAGGGCTTCCTAGGTTAATCTGCAGGTTATGGGAATGCCCACTAATGTGGATCACTCTGTTGGGCCATGTATTCAGCTCTCCTTAAGTCTGAGCCATGTGAAGATTGTCCCTTTTCAGGACTTGGTATCCACCCTGGCAGGGCATCTTCAGTCTATTCCTTACTCTTGAATTGCCTTAAGCATAACATCAATGAGAGTGAATTAAACCAGGATTCATCTTCTGTACATGGTAGGGTGGTCTACCACCACCTTGAATGATGTGTGGTGAGCAGTCGTAGTGGGATGCTTTGTCTCATCAGTCCTTCTTGATTTTTCCCTGGGAGTGCATGTGAGTCTATGCATAGCCTGAAGAACAAAAGGCAATCAAGCAAAGTTTTTCCTAATAACCTCCTTGCACCATAAAAAGTCCCCTTTTAACAAACTGAGAACTTACTCACCCTGAACTATACTGTGTTTGTTTCATGATTTGTTTCGAGCTGAACTTTTCTCATGTCTTGCAGTGGTTTTAAAGGAATGTTACTTAGTAGTTTCCATTAACTTGTGTTTTTTTTTCCCTCCACAGCTGCAAAAAGTAAAGGCAGAGTGGTAAGTATTGTTTTGTCTTATAAAAAGTTGCTACACTGACTATCTTTGGGTTACCTTGTTTGGGTAACTTTAGCAGTGCACAAAAAAAAAAAAAAATATCATCCTATGAACATACTTTAAAAGTATAAAATAATGAGTTATTGGCCAACACACACAAAACAGCCTGGTAGCTCATTAAATCCTAGCTAAGCATTAGCGTGCTCACCACCCTGATAAAATGTCTGAAGAGCCTTTGCTGACGGGGCAGACATCGGTTGGGAGGGGGAGGATCCCTGGAGCCCACCCTTCACGTGGCTGAGTTGTCATCTGCTGACTCTCCCTTAGGACCCTTTTACCTTTTGGTGTAAGTGTTCTTCCCCTTGAATCTTTGAACTGCTAATAACACCTGTCTCAGCAACCTTCTCTGTGTCTCTGCTTTTCTTATCTCGCAAGGTTTTATTCCACAGACTTTCCCCGCAGCTTTCTCGCACCTTAGTGGCTTTCTCCGCCGCCACCAAGACCCACCAGCCACAAAGCTGTGCAGCAGGGTGGTGTCAGACCTGTGCCTGGCATCCCCAGGACAGGGGAAGGTTATGGAGAGCATTATAAAACATAGCCTTCAGGTTACCTCTTCAGTGGTGGATCCAGTGCTTTCTGGTCAATAGGGTTCAAAATGGAAGACGTTTCAATAAATGTGTGTGTACGCGCATGTATAATGCACAAGAGGTTTAAGAGGACAGTATAGTGAAAAACAAGAATAGTACAGGTCATATATTATCAAGGTATAACTGCATATTCTCTTGTTGCTTGTTTCATCTTGGAAAAATAGGAGGTCTGTTACCTTGGGAAAGACCTTGTAGCTTTCTCCTGCGTGCCCCTGTTTGTGCTCAGCCCCAGCTGTGACATGCAAATCTCTGCCAGCTCAGGAGCAGCTGGGAAAATCCCACCCATGGCCGCTGTGCCAGCGTGTGACTGCAGGACATCTCGGCCAGGCACATAAGTGCTCATGCCTTAAAACAGAAACCCAACCTTGGTGGAATTTTGTTACCTCCCCAGATCAGCACATAACACAGCTTAAGCAATAAGCTGTTGGGCAGTGTGATGGTGTAATACTGGGGAGGTTTGAGAACACCAAGAAGGACAAAAAGGTTTTAGTGACGCTTTGTGATTTTTTTCTGGTGGGGATGGGTCCTGCCAGGACTGCTCTGTGCCTTTTTTCTCTGTAGGCAGACCAGCTTCAGAGGGGACATCCTTTCCTCCCCAGCTGGGCTATACCCAATTACACTGGCAGAAACCAGCTGCGCAGTGTGGGTTTCTGTTTTAGGGCCTGACCCAACAACTGCTGAAATCAAAACCTTTTGGGTGTATCTATGGGTGCTGAGCCAAACCTGCATGGTGTGGTTCCCCACCCACCTCCTCAGGAGCATGAACATTTGCATGGCTTAGTGATGGTGCATGGTCAGGGCCGGGTGGCATTCTTCTGTATGAACTCCAGTCCACCAAAAGCTGTGTCCAAGTTGGGACTAGTCATCTAGACCTCCTGCTATCTTCAGCCAAGGGAAGTAGGCACCTTCAAGTGAATTTTATCTAATTTGGGGATATGTGTGGATGGTCTCCCTTCAGAGGCACTTCTTTCTGCCCATGGAGGATGTGATAAATCAAGAGTGACAAGTCTCTATTTGGGCCTGTAATTTCTGTTCCTCTGAAGCTAGATGAGCCCCACCTGGCACTCACCTCGGCTGAAGTCAGGGTTTTTTTCAGTGAAGCTTGCTTATCAAACCATGGGTAAGATGTGCACTATATACTTGGTTCAGCTGATAACAAAGACAAATGCTGTTCAGGCTGCTTGGACGTCCTTATGCCTGAGTCAGACTAAGTCAGCAATATTCTCACCACTCTCATTTTCATTTCTCTTGCACTATTCACAGAAAGCCCATTGTAGCACACAAGTCTCACAAAGTGTTGTGGTGTTCATTAAGGCTCTGGCCAAAGGCTTTGCTGGAGATATGGGCTCTCCAATTTACTCATGTCAGGCAGGATTCTCGCACGTAAGGTTTCTTTCCTTCTGGTCTACAGAGTTAACTTTTTTTCTGTTTCACACAGAATATGGATTGGTTTGATTCCTAAACCCTCATGACATGAAGACAAACAATGCCATATTTTTTTCCTTGTCCATGCTTCTTAAGTTTCATAACTGTTTTACCTCTGGGATGTTCTGAGGCTTATTAAAAATTTTACCTTTTTTATGGGTTTATGTTCAACTTGCATTCCTAGTAATTTTAATAGAAATGATATCACGTATTCATCCACTAAGAAAAGTGAAACTTCCAATTCTACTGATCATGCCAGATTTGTACGTGATGTGTGCTTTTGCCCCTTGTCGTAACGGCAAGAGCCATGTCACAAGCTGTGTGATAGTGACTGTGGCAATGCCTATCGCAGCAGGTGACGGCTCAATAAATCTGGCAGTTAATGCCATGCAATTTTAGATTAGGAGTAAAGTCAGTTTTATCAGTAAATCTGAAGAAATGAAGGATTCTTCAACAAGCAGAGTATTTGTAAGGATAGGGAGCTTTCCTGAGAGATTTGCTTGAACAAAATGTTTATGTGTTTATCTGTCTCAGCTGGAGGTATTTAAAAATAGTCCCAGGCTTCTACCTTTGGTGTGTGGTGGGTTTTTGTTGAGTTGGGATTTTGACTGTTTTCAAAAACATTGGCTTTTTGTATATTTTTGGACACCAATTAAGACTGCCCTAAGGGTTAGGTGCTGAAGACTTCAAATGTGCATAACGCAACACTTGAAGGTCAAATACAGCATTGCTAAAGATCTCTTGCTAAGAGCAGATGAGAAGTTGGCAGGGCTCTGGGGACCAAGAGGGGAAAATGAGAATTAACTCTTGGTTCAGGTAAAACAGTGTTGTTCCACAGAAGCCTGTGCAGCCTCCTAACCCCTGAGTACCTACCCACTCCTGTTGAGTCTGTATTGAGCTTGCTCAAGCTGTGGGTCACAGTGAGCGATGTCAGTCTGTCGCACAGCTCTGAGCTCACACTGTCTGTCTCTTTCCTCCAGCCAAGCTGCTTTGGCTACCCCTTGAGCATCTTCTTCATTGTCATCAATGAGTTCTGCGAGCGGTTCTCCTACTATGGCATGCGAGGTATGTCCTGTGTCCCGTGTGTCCTCGTGCCTACCATTACTCACCCAGCCCTGACTTTGGTTTGTAACCTGTTGTTTTGTTATTCTTCTTACAGCGGTGCTCATCTTGTATTTCAAATATTTCCTTCAATGGGATGACAACTTGTCTACAGCCATCTACCACACGTTTGTTGCTCTCTGCTACTTGACACCAATCCTTGGAGCGCTCATTGCGGACTCTTGGCTGGGGAAGTTTAAGTGAGTGCTTCCTCAGAAAACAACCAAAATCATGAAAGCTCACCTGAGATCAGCATTGTTTAACCCATCACCTAAAGCAGCAGCTCAGAACAACCAGCTTCAGAGCTGGTGTTGGCTACTCCAGGATAGTTTGGGCTTTTTTTTTTTTTTTTCTCCAAAGCTTGAGGTTTTATTGATTTAGCTCAGACCTGAAACTGCTCTGTGAGTTAGCAAATATTACAGTTCTGCTAATCCGTTAACGGTAGTAACTCGCTTTCCAAGCATGCTGTATGTTTTTCCTCTCATCTGGACAAAAACATAAGCTAAACCAGGGAAACTATTCACCAAGCTGTGAAAATAGATACTGCAGGTTATAATTACATTGGACTGCCTCTTTACCTATTGCAGGTGGCCAATGAAATAGTGAAATACTGTGTTAGCTGGTATTAACCGGGACTTAGAATATATTCTAGAATATTCTGTGATTTCACTATGGACTTGACAGCTCAGTGGGAGGTTTTACGGAGTTGCAACTCTTTCTTTAAATGATCAGTTCTGGGTTTTTACCTGTGTATGAGTTGCTCAGAAAAGTACTGCTGAATGAAGTGCCTTTAAATGTAACCAAATTACTTCCAACAGCCTGATCTCTCTCTCCTTTACTGATGTAGCGATTCTAATAGTGTTTACTTTGCCTAAAAAAAGGCACAATAAAGATTTTATGGAGGGATATGAGTCAGGAACATTAGCTGACTTGTCAAAGGTCTCCTAGAGATTAGAGATGAAGCTGTTTGTGCAGTTGGTCAGCTGAAGGCTGCACCATCTTCTGCCGTGTTGACAGCTTCTGGGAGACTGGGGCTGCAGCCACTGTCAGGTGTGCTCTGTGGAGCTGGCCTGATCAATATAAGCCACTGCAAGCAGCTTGATATCTTGCAGCCTGAATATATGTGCACTCACTTGTTCAGATGGTATGAATTTTTTTTTTTAAAACTATTTTGGCTTTTACCTGTTTTATCAGATGAAGCTTTGCAGACCTTGCATCCCTTCTCCTCTGGTACTTGTGTATACCAGTGCCACAGCTGCAAGCCCCTTGGCCACCAGACCCTTAACAGGCACTCAGTAGGATGGCTCAGGGCTTGAAACTGGAACTTTAAGCTTTTGGAAAAAAAATGAAATAATTCTCTGGGTTTAATGTATAGGTGCCCAAAAATACAGCAGGGCACCATGTGGAAGGCTTAAACAATAATTCATTTAAAAAATCTGTGATAACAAGAGGAAGAGGAGGTTACCCAAGCACTGTTAAACATTCTTATAGGAGAGACTCAAATCTTCCACAGTCCATGTACTTCATGCTATGTCTGCCAAGGAGCATGCTGGGACCTGCTCATGTATTGTTAGATGTGAAGTTATTGGGGAAAACAATACAGAAATTACAATTTGTTCTTTCTTTTTAAATTGGGAAACATCTATGCAGTGCCAATTATATAACTGTTGTCTTCACAGCATGCTTATGAGCTTTACCAATAAACCCCAGAGTTTCTTTCCTGGTCAGCTCAGGTTTCGTCTCCACTGGAAACTTTCTCCTAAGTTCCTAAGCCAAGCAACTGAAGTAACTATATGGAAGAGCTATTTTTTTAAAAGTTCAATTTTATCTAATAAATACCAATAAATAGGAGATTTGGCTTCACTGTTGCCCCATTTTTTACCCTGCTACAGGGAAAAGCACTTTTAAAAGTCAGAAAACTTCTTGTTTTAAAGTGAGAAGAATTTGGTCAATGGTGTGAGTGATGCTTCCTCTTGTATTGGGGTGCCCCAAACTTGCTGTGAGGACCTCTTGCCTTCCTCAAACAGATTTGGATTGTTCTAGGTCCTTGAGCCTTGCCCTTCACTGTGATGGGCTGCACTGGGTTTGGGACTGCTTCTTCTGCAAACTAGGGTATTACACGTTACATTGTTGCATCCTATTTCTCCTGCTTTTCACCCAAACCAGAGACCTGGGCCTGTGCCTACTGAATGGAGCCCCAACCGAAGAAGTGGATGAATGTGGGTTAAACTACAGTCATGTACTTAAGCTCCAACAAAGTTAAAATGGAGTGTGTTCTCACATACAGGAAAGAGGAACAGACCCTAAAGGAATGGCAGGGCCGGGGTGGGTAATTCTGTAGTATTACCTGCCTAGGCACCCCATGGCAGAGGAAAGTCAGGCTGAAAGCCTGCACTCTGTGCTCTTCAGCGCTGGTCTCGCTCAGCTCTGAGATTAAAGATGTTGGTACACTCGCAACTGAGAGAGTGGGGTAATAGGGAATATTTAAACAATATTAAAATCAGTGCAAATTGCATGCTTCAGTGTTGTAAAGTAGTCCATTTGAACTTCATCATATATGAAATATGCTAATAGCATTCTCGAGCTGGTTATTAAAAAGGCAACCACTGAAGATACTTAAATATCTCCCATGACCTGGTGACATCTAAAGAACCTGTCTGTCATCTTGCCTTGCTTAATTAAACAAGGCTACCTAAAATAATAAACAGAATAGGAATATTGTGACAGAGGTATGTGGACAGATTTTTACAGTAGCTTGTGATAAGTTGAGTCCATAATTTGTCATATCTGTTAATTATGCTTCTTTACTAAGTATCTTTGAAATGAGCAAAAGTCTGCATTATCTCTGTGGGTGTGTATGTATATATGTGTAATTGTGTTAACATATCTAAAAACTCATCTCCTCTCTCTACAACAGGACCATTGTCTCCCTGTCCATTGTCTATACGATTGGGCAGACAGTCATGTCTGTGAGCTCCATAAATGACCTGACGGATCACAACCGGGATGGCTCTCCTGATAATGTATCAGTGCACATGTGAGTTGCCTTGTACATGGGTTTTTTTCCAGGTTGACAAAGGGTGGGACAACTTAAGCCTTCAATTTATGCTACTTGAATTTCAACTGTCTTGCAATCAGTCTCTTACACTTGTTTTAAGTAAGAAAGCAAAGTGATTTTTTTTTTTTTCTTTTTCTCTTTTCTACTTTGTTCCAGTGCTCTGTCCATGATTGGATTGATCCTCATTGCACTTGGTACTGGTGGGATCAAACCTTGCGTGTCAGCGTTTGGTGGAGATCAGTTTGAAGATGATCAGGTAACAATGTCTTTCAGATTTTCAATCATACAGACACACTTACTAATGTTTCACTATTATAATACTCTAATAATATATGTTTTTAGACATGTGCCTTACTGTAGTGTTTCCTGAGTAGCTGAAGGAGCTGGATAACTATTTGTCTTGAACGGTGCAAACAGAGCTGCTGATTGATCAGCCTAGATTGAACAATGTGGTTCTGGCTAAGCCTTTCTAAAAATCTTTTTGTTTTTACTGTAGGAAAAACAAAGAACTAGATTCTTCTCTATCTTTTATTTGTCTATTAATGCTGGAAGTCTCCTATCTACTATAATCACCCCAATTCTCAGAGGTAAGGCCACACATTTGTTTCTAAAATAGATGAACATCAGTAAAGGATGAGTGTTGGATTGCATTCCAGTTCGGTTTAAATGAAAGGTCTGTTCTTTGAAGACTATTTGCTAGATAACTCGACAAGATGTCAAGTTTTCATGTATGTCATCCAATGTCTAACAGGTGAGGTACTGTCAAAAACAAGCCAGTCTGAGGTCTGAATTGCCTTTAGGATCAGAAGTACTAGGTCTGAAGAGACATGCTGAAGCATTCAACTTGTATGCCTAACACATGTTTTAATTTCATAGAGGTACAAATGTGGCACCTCTTCCAATGCCTTAAAAACCATCACACAAGAAGGAGTTGCACTGTTGCTGGGAAGGGGGCAGAGAGCCCTCTACTCTGGAAGTGGAGACTACTCTAAAGTGTGCCCATGCAAAGTACAGAAGCAACTATGCACATGGCAACACATATATCCATGTGACAAAGTAAATTGTGGGTTTTTTTCATATCGTTAAAGGAGAAAGTTAGTTATTTTCTCTTCTGCTTATAATGAATAGTGTGATCCTAAACAAAAAGCAAACAAATCACTGATCCATATGTATATGGATTTTCATTGCAAGCTTACACAGATGGTACTGTATGGATGTGCTTGACAGGAGTTTGAGGAAGGCTGTTTTTCTCAAAGAAAGAAAATGGCATGTGAGTTCTGGAATAACCCTAAAGCACTGGGCTGAAATTCTGTTCTTTGGATTTCTTGACTGGAACAGACTGTGTAGAAGCATTTCTAGATGTTTGCTTGATGCAAATTCTATCCTTTCCCGAAATGGAGGGAGTTACGCATAAGGCACAACATGCAGTTTGCTGCCATACTGATGCAGGGGGAAAGCTACCTTGGAAAAACAGATGAATTCAACTGAGCAAAGTGATACCATTACATTCTGTAAAGGCTTAACTAAAAGGCTAATACAACTAAATCAAGACATTAATTAGCTGCAAGCTAATTTTTTTTTTTTCAAATCAAACTCTCTAATTCTCTTTTTAGAAGAAGTATTCACAAAAAGGTAACAGTTTTGCTCAGTCTTTTAGTTTTCCCTGTTAGTAGCTATGTCCACACTCTGAGCGTCGCTTCAGGACGTACGCATGAAGTTTAGAAAGTCAAATCACTGACTACTGCTGGTGGGGTGTGTGTGCTGTTTGAGAATTTTTTTCAACAACCTACACTTACTATGTTACTTATATCTTTATGAATTTGTCCCCAGACTTTTATAATCTAGTTCCTTTCTCACCAAGAACATGCATTTGACCATTCTAGTAGGATTCTTCACCCCTCAGTGTAAAATGAAATGTAAATCTCCTATAAGGAGAGGCTCAGAGAGCTGGGATTGTTCAGCCTGGAGAAGAGAAGGCTCAGGGGGATCTCATCAATGTATATAAATACCTGAAGGGAGGGTGCAAAGAGGACAGAGCCAGGCTCTTCTCGGTGGTGCCCAGTGACAGGAGCAGAGGCAGTGGGCACAACCTGGAACACAGGAGGTTCCCTCTGAACATCAGGAAATGCTTTGTTACTGTGAGGTTGCCGAGGGAGGTTGTGGAGTCTCCATCCTTGGAGATATTCAAAAGCTGTCTGGACATGGTCCTTGGGCAACCAGCTCTAGGTGGCCCTACTTGAGGAGGGAGATTGAACCAGATGACCTCCAGAGGTCCCTTCCAACCTCAACCATTCTGTGATTTTTTTTTTGTGATATATAATTCCCCTTTTTGATAATGAAAGATAAGTTTGATACTGATCATTCGCCCTGTCAATAACATCAGCAGAGATTTTTTTTCCTTGCGTCAACAACAAATGCAAAGAACAGAAACCCTATGTAAAATACTGGCAGTGCTGACTGGAACTTTTATCTAATGTTACTTTGTACTTCAGCTCAAGTGTGTGGCATTCATAGCAAACAGCGGTGTTACCCACTAGCTTTTGGAGTTCCTGCTGCCCTCATGGCTGTTGCCTTGGGTAAGTAGAACTGTTTCCACCTTGCTGCTTCAGTTTCAGATGTGATTAGATGACGATGATCTCAGAATAATGAAAGTGGTAGAAATTTCCAGGTACCAACCTCTACCGATACCTCATTGTTTCTGCAATTTTTGACTTAAATTTTTTCGTGGGGGTGGGACTAACCTGAAACACTCACTTTTGCAGAAGAGACTGACTTACAAGGAGAGACTGGTGGGGCTGGGGGGAGGCACAACTATACCATTAAATTCTGTACATTATGTAATTTACTGTCTATATTTCTTGGACTGCCGGGGTGTACAAATAAGATCTTATGAATATAGTGTGAGAGTTCTCAGGAAAGCAGCTTTTTTTCTTGCAAACTACTTATAGTCCAGGATAGTGAACTGCGTAAGATAACTGCGCCTGCACTGGAGAAATGCCATCCCGGTGTGTCGGTATTTCTCAAACACCTGCATTTTTACTATCTGCACTATGGGTTGCTCACCAAGCCTTTCCACTGCAGCACAAAGACCAAGAAACTTGGGGGTGAGGGAGCTTTTTTGAACGCTGTGGCCAGTGTGTAGCAGGGTATCCCTCATGGTCCTGGCCCCTCGTGGTCCCGACTGGGAGCCCACCCAGGGTGGGCCTCCAGCTGCTGGTGACCACATCTTACCTGCGCACCCAACCCAGGGCGGACGGCGGCTGCGAGGGTTTGCCCATGCCCTGCCCCACACGTGGGAGGGCGAGGCCGGGGAATGTGCCCAGGCGTGGCAGCTTGGGACACCTCGGCGAGTCCTGCAGTTCGGGCAGAGCCTCACGTGTCCCTGCGTTACGTGAGCTGCAGCGCCCTTGACTCCTGAAAGGGAGCCTGTAAAGCTGTCTTAATCTGGCACAGCAAGGCCAGAGCCAAGGTCCTAAGTGGCCCTTGTTTTGACAATCCTCAATTAAACTCATGTCCCACTGAGGACTTGCCCTAAGAGTTTCGGGATTTAGTCCTTCGCCTTAAATAGTAGCAACCTGCTGGTATTCATATGATTTCTTTTACAGTATGATAACATGCCAGTAGGCACATTCATTCCTCCTTAGGAGGCTTACTCCCACCCTGATGTAACTCCTTGATAGAGGTTGCCATACCACATTTGCCTGATTTTCAGTTAATCCTGAGTTGCTTTCTGTTTGTGTATTGTAGTTGTGTTCATAGCTGGAAGCAGGATGTACAAGAAGGTTCAACCTCAAGGCAATATAATGATCCAAGTTTCCAAATGCATTGGAGTAAGTACTATTTGTATTCCCCAAAACCCTGACAGCAATTTTTAGAACTGTTCAGTGCACTCACCTAGATCAGAAATCTGTCATAATACAAAGAAAGCTTCTGAAGTTGTTTGACTTTTTCCCTTACAGAAGGCTTTTTACTAACACCTCCAGATTTACAGACTGCCTTTTTATTTATCTATATCTTGGTTTATATCTGAATTTATACACAAAGGAAACAAAGTAAGATGTCAGTCATGTGTAAAAGCTTATCTCAACTTCTGGGAATGATTCCTTCCTCATTTGTGGACCCTTATGCAGCCCTGTAGGATGAGATAAACATGCCTGACGTGAGTCGAGAACAGAGCTACCAGTAGCTCTTATCAGCAAAAACTTATTGTTTATTAAAAGAATGTTATTTACAATGCAGATGTATATTGATCCCTACTGTATTAAGAAGGTCGGGGGGTTACACGTCGGTGCAAGCCTGCAAGGAAGGGAGCTAAATCTGCATGAGTAGCACTGTACTTTCCAACTTTGCAGTGCCTCAGCTTTGAGATCGGGGGATTTTTTTTTTTTTATTTATGGGTTGCTTCATTCTCCATACAGATCTGCCAGCTTGTTATAGCCCAGATCATTGCTTGTCTTGTAAGCACCGTCAAAACCAAATCTCTATAGGTGACTTTTGCTGTTGCTTAGAGTGCTGCCTCTAAGGCCCAGCTCAGCCTTGCATGTTATTGCATGCAGAAAGTCTTAGGAGTTCTTCAGGACTATATTTGTGCATATTCAGTGTCAAGGTATGAGGAATACCTACAAGATGCAGCTTCTTGTGGTGAAATGTACTCTTACAGCCATTCATCTCTGAAAAACCTGTGCATATGACATTCTTCTATTTGTTGTTGTACGCAAGTAAGTCTGAAGTAGGCAGGTCTTCAAGTTCCTAACAGCAACCCACATTGAGAGGGACTACTCTGAGCTGTTTGGTTCACCTAATCCCAGGTGCACACTTCACCGGACATGCAGTGGGAGGCCCTAAATGCAATATTCCTTTAGATGCCTAGAGCAGTTAACAGAAGTAAGTCACCTCTAGCACCCTCTAAAGCAGGAGTGTCATCTTTAATGATGAAACAGCCTAGAGCATTACAAATATTTGTAACGCCATTGAACAAAATTCTGTTTCTCCTCAGTTTGCCATCAAAAACCGGTTTCGGCATCGCAGCAAGGAGTACCCCAAGAGAGAGCACTGGCTAGACTGGGCGAGTGAGAAGTATGACGTAAGTACTGTGTGAACACTCCTGTGCCGTGCCATCCCCTGACCCTCAGCCTCTCTGCTGCGATCCATTTCCTCAAGTGCTGGACAAACAGTTTTGGGCCTCTCAATCATTTAGAAGCTAATGGTCTGTCCAAACCTCAGTGCTCCCCTGGGGTTGCAGGTTACCACCCCAGCTCCTGTGGGAGAAAGCAGAGCTGTGTATGAGTCTGCTCTGTGTGATCATAGGCTGCCTGGGGAAATTTGAGGGAGATGAAGAAAAGACCGTTTCCCTTGTTGAACAAATACAAGCACCTCTTAGTTTTTGAATTAGTAAAACAGCAAGCATTTTCCCTGTCAGCTTCTTGTTTTTCTCAGTAAACCAGCTTCAAATATGCTGGTTTAATGACTGCAGAGGGGAAATATGGGCATGGTGTTGACTGTCATGGTTAATGCCCAGGGCCATAATGCTTGTCTTGGGATCAAACGGCAGAATTATGCTTAGGAATTTCAGCTTGAGTGGGTAAATACGGCATCCTCACAGCCTCAGTACAAGTTCCTTCCCATGACTGAAAGCCTTGTGTCCCATAGTCCCCAGCCATGTCCCTTGCCTCCTATCTACCCTGCCCTGTTGTCAGCAGCAGCACAAACCTTAGCCTGTCCCCTTTATTTTCCTTTTGCCTATATGCATTTTTCATATGTGAAATGCATTCCTCAGTCACCCATCATTCAAACACCTCCTTTCTAGAAAGACAAAGCAGCACTAAGTGCTAAATCTCATGCTGCCATCCGTATACATGCCAAGAGACGCAGGGTTCTCCGATATCAATGTCACCTTTAACAGGCAGACCTTCCCACACCCATAGGCAGACCTTGGGCTTTTTGACAGAAATCAGCAGAAGTACCCACAATATAGAAAGTTCAGAATGCGGGTAAACATTACGTGATGTATATTTACCTGTTGCTGGGCTGCAATTGTCTCTCTTTTTCACTAATTCCTCTTCTGTAATTCTCGTTTGCTGCAGAAACTACTGATTGCTCAGACTAAGATGGTGTTGAAGGTGCTTTTCCTTTACATCCCTCTCCCCATGTTCTGGGCACTTTTTGACCAGCAGGTAAAGTAGAAAATGCTTGGCTTGGCAATTAGGGCTGTACCATGTCACTCTATAGACTCTGAGGTCACCAGACATAAAAGGTCTTTATATGAGGGTGCAAATTCTTTGCAAATTTTTAACCTGTTTCTTATGGGAAGGGGTAGTTATTGAGTCACATTAGTATGGGATGTTCTGCAGCTGGAGGAAACTTGGTTTATCTGGGCATGCCCAGGACTGGTTTGGTGACTGAGGCCTCTCCAAATCTTTTATCAGCCAGGACTCGGAGCATGAAACAGTAATTTAAAGCTTTCTTAGTTCTAACTCTTCTTCCGCTCTCAGTTGGGAGATGCAATGTAGAGTCCTAGTGTAAATACTCTGGAGAATTGGGGATGAAATGAGCTGGATGCCTGTTGGCTTAATCACTCAAACTTGTTATAAATACCTCACACCTTCAAGCATAAGTATGAGCCTGTAACTCTCCTTCACTTGTTTGACTGAGCGCTCAGGACTCATGAAAGCAGGCTTTCAGAGTTAAGTGTTGAAGTGTGAATTTAGGAGGGTATCTGAGAGAACTGGGGGCTGAAAACTTTATCCAAGGCAGAGTGTAGGAAGCTTGGTCCAGATTGCCTGGATCGTGCTGCTTTAGTCTGGTACCAGTGAGCTGTAACGGCCAGCGTGACCTGTTACAAATAGGCAGCCCTGCTGCGAAATGCAGGACTAAATACTCATTGCATGAATAGTAACTATCGCATCTCAGTGGTACATCACAGGTGGTTAAAGGCTCTCGCCACAGATGCAGCGCTGCATGTTCTTGTCTCACCCTGGGCTCAAGCTGAAAGTCAGCAGCCCTTCCTGACCCAGCTCTAGGCAGGTTTTCTGGGCAGAGGGCTCAAGGCAGGTCCAGCCCTGGCTTGGCCACTCGCTGCTGGGCTGCGTGAAGGAAAAATGGGCATGCCAGTGGTGTGGGGTGTTCGGGCTCAGGCGGGCAGCACGAAAGGTGCTCGGGTGGCTTCCGTGCACAGCATGCGGCAGTGCTCTGTGCAGGATGTCCCTGCCATCCCTCCGGCTAATCTCTGCATCTAAATTATCTTCCACTACGGAACTAGTAAATAAAGTGAAATGGGCCACAAGGATCACTTTGTTCAAATGTTTACATTGCAGAGAAAGAATAATCCCATAGCAAGCTAGTTTTATTTTTTATTATATTGCGTGTCTTTCCCATCACTTGATGTATAAAAACAATTTAAGAGGAACTTTGGAGGATTGATTTACTGTGGCATTTAACGTTCTCTTCTTTTGTTAAGGGGTCAAGATGGACACTGCAAGCCACAACAATGGATGGCAATTTTGTAGGTTACTTTTTATTGTTTTTTTCTTAATTAACATTTACTTTTTATTTGTTGTCATAATATTAAAACCTATTTATCTTTTCTTCACCAGGGAGCTATTCAGATTCAGCCAGACCAAATGCAGGTATAGTAATCTATCTGACAATTCTAAGTACTTCCCAAAGATTACATATATATTTTTAAAATTGCCCTTAATTTAAAAAAGGACTTTGAAACATACTTAATTTTTTCCCTTCTTATGTTTATATTCAACAGACTGTGAATCCAATTCTGATTATCGTAATGGTCCCAGTTGTAGATGCTGTGGTTTATCCTTTAATCAAGAAATGCAAGATCAACTTTACGTAAGTTGATGTACTTACCTGCTTTCAACAGAGGTTCATTTTAGTGGTTTCTTTGAGCTGCTCTTTCAGCCCTAACATAACAAAAGCAAGCATCCAGCTAAGGAGAAAATAGTGTATTTAAAATGGAGTTAATATTTTAAACAAATGAAAATAAATAAATAAATAAATATAGGACTCTGCAAGTGGTATGTACAGGCACCACAGACTAGAGGAAGAGAATCTAATAGCAAAGTAACAATATTTTCCAGTTAAGGGCAAAGTCTTTTGACTGCAGGAGAGATGCTTTTTACTGTTTTCCACTTCCCCTGCATCTATACCCTCTCCCTCCTAAAGGATAAGAAGTAGAAATACAACACACATCCTTAACATGTGTCATGTTTGGGGCTTAAAACTACCTGAGACAAGATGTGTTTCCTCTTCAGTCCCAGTGAGGAGTCTGGCTCACTGGATACTTCTAGGTGTAGTTTCAGGGGGCATTGCATGTTATTTTTAACGTTGGTAAAGAAGTGGCTAGTGCTTGCAAGTTGGAGGGGTAGAAGAGAATATACTTCTTAAAACAATTCTTACAGTTCTTAAAACATTCTTGTAATGCTGGTTTTCCATCTAGTTATGAAAAATTTGGCAGGGGGTGTGTGCTTTGCTGGAAACATTATCATTAATTTGTGGACACCCTACATCTGACAAATGATACCATAAATAAAATACCTACCTTAAATTTACCCTTACAGTTTACCTGAATGTCAGTAGATGCTTCCTAATTCAGCATGTTTCCCTGACTTTTTCTATTCAATATTGCTTTGATTTAAACATAGCAATATAAACACAAGTTGTTATCCTTTTTTAAAAGGCATGACTTCTTGGCTTTTTGTTGTTTTAAAGCTAACAACCATACTGGATTCATTTTTCCTTCCTGCAGACCAGACTTTTCCAGAAACATAATAATTATGTTCACACAACGTTTGAGCCCAGCAGATGCAGAGTAATGGGTTATTACGATGCTGCAGGAAAGATGTATTACCTGATAGTGTAACTATGAATTGAGGCACCCAGCTTAGCAGAATGCTTTCTGTAACAACATCAGCTCTTCAGATGGTGATAACGTGCTAGTTGTGGCCATTTGAGTTTCCTACTGTGGAAAGAAAATAACTATCAGCTGAAGCTTTGAATTAGTATTTGTCTTATAGCTCACGTATGTGTTTTGTTGCTGTACTAGGCCCCTGAGGAAGATCACTGTTGGGATGTTCCTTGCAAGTTTGGCTTTTGTTGCTGCTGCCCTTGTGCAAGTGCAAATAGACGTAAGTTCAGCCACGTGCAAGTATTTACTATTAATATTTAGTTGTTAATACAGAACAAAGTGTGTTTTAAAGTGAAAATGAGCCAAGACTCCCAAATTCAGAACAAAGCATATGAGCACAGAAGTAGAGGGAGGGGAAATACTATGCTAATCGCACTATTGCAATATACTTCAGTAATACTTTCCTACAGAAATGTAAAGATGGACCTGTTTTTATTGTGTGGTGTACTTAAAGAGATTGAAGCGGACAGAAGTATGGGAAGGGAGGAAAAGTTGAGGCAGAACTGAAACAGAAACAACTCTTGCAGCTCTGCAAGAGCAGAAGCTATTTACTGTTAGATCTGATGGGAAATGGAGTCTCCAGAAGTTCAGTTTCTCTGGGTTATCACACCGGGCAGTGCCCATTACATGCTTCTGCCCAGTTCAGCAGCACCAGTGCTGGGGGAGAATGAGTCAGAACATGGTACAAAGAAACTCGGGAACCCAGGCTGCCATAGCATGTGGGAAAAGCCCATTCCTTGAACTGCAGAGTAGCCTTGGTAGTGGCAGCATGCTGCGGGATGATGTGGTTTAACCCCAGTTGGCAACTAAGCATCACACAGCTGC